CCTACTTGTCCACATGTATAAAGATGTAGCTTGGGGATTGTTAGCTACTTTGTCAATGTTAGAAGGCAACTCATTATCAAATACAAAACAGGACAAATGCAGAACAACTGACTCGCATTAAGTTCTAAAACTGATCATTTTTTGGAAACTTTTTTAAATACTAAAATTAGCGAACAACAGGGTTGGTACATTTCGCTGACCCCTAGTCCATGGACTACCCCAATGAACCAGTGGTCCATGGACTACTTGAATGGACTACCCATGGACTACCCTAAATGGACCACCCTGAACTTTGTGGCAAACATAAATTTAACGATGCCAGAACCTGAACAAAAGATGAGATCGATCAACAAACACATTACGGAATACTTGCAATGTAACAGATTTAATCCCCAACTCGACCTTTGCCACAAAATATTACAACCGAAATAAAGGAAATGGGTTGCTTTTCTCATTCCCTGTCATGGCATAAAGAACTGGCTCACAAGTCAGAGATGAATGCATTATATATGCAAAATTTCCACTTACCATCTAGTGTGCTTTCCATATTGGACCATATTGTGAGTGACTGTGAGTGACTCGTGAGCAACTACTGCGCCACTAGACCATGGAAACTTTCGTAGTTCAAAGAAGTCAAAGTACGCTGCCAAGTATGGTCTACGCCACACTTCACACCACACTGAACCAAACCATTTCCTATTGTAGGAAATGGAAGCCAACTAAAAATGATGTGCAGCAGTGCTTCAATTCTGATGAATACCCAGCTGAACAACTTGTTGCTTGAATTTCATTTTCACAGCCAGCTTAAACCAATTAAATATAATTTGCTTTTCATATCATCCAACACCTGAATGCAGTTCTGCAAATAGCAAAGCAGCTGATATTTCAAGTTTCAACCAGGTCATTTCTTTGCACCCAAAAACTCTGCATAAACCGCGTTGCTTCTAGATACTTGTTAACAACCCAAAATACCTATGCACTTCTCGTAAGTTTAAAAGAAATGACAAATTAAATAGGAAACTACAAAAAACGCTCTTCCATTGCAAAGGCCTCACTAATTTACACACTGATGCTACTGCCAAATAATACCATTTGTGATATGCATGACTGATTTTATTGTAACAAAAAAAAAGATAGCTTGACAGTGTGCTTCAATTAATATACTTTGTCGTCAGGTGTGAAGCCAAGTTTTTTGAAGTGCGACTTGAGATTTTTAAGTGAACCATGAGCCATATTTTTAATTATAAGTAGTTTGCATATTTTTCCTTGTATAATATAATGCTTTTTTTATTGTAAAGTAATTCGTAATTCAGCTGCTCCAGTGGCTGCAATGAGTTTGCTAATAAAAATCTATCTATCTATCTATCGAACTTGAGTCAATGCAAGTGCTTACTTGAAACTCACTTTAGCTTTTAGTGTGAAGCCAACAACTCTGTGAACTGAAGTTACAAAACTTGTTTTAAAATTCTCTAAGAAGTTTGGCCTAGTATGACGGACTTCTTCAGGAAGGTAGACTACGAGTAGTCCCTCTTTCTTCTCACGGT